CTTCTAACTTAGAATCCTAAACACACAGTCTTGGAAACATATCCATGACACCAATTGCTTTAGGAAACCTCCGTGCCTGTTAGTGGGATATCCTTGTAATAAATAAATCAACTTGATAACTAGCCCTTTACCACTCAGACTTAAAATTGCGTGCTATAGAGATAGAAGGTTAAAGCTGGGTTAAATGACTTGTAAAGAGACATTCCTTTCAATCTCTGCATCTCTCTAAGTAGTCTGTGACCAAACTCTGCGATGTACAAGGTGTACTTTACATAATCTTTTTAAGAAATGGTATGAGGGAAGACAAATTCAGTTGCAATGTGAACATTGGTTAGCTGAGAAGGTTTTTAGTACATAGGATAGTGAACAAAATCCCACAGAGGTTTGGTTTCATAGGTCAAGGTGACTACTTAGCTAGCTATTAACAAATTATGAGTACATTGTTTACTGTTTCCTGAGTATGTTTCATATAGAAGTGAAATAATTTTCTTTTAAAGATGCAGTCAGAGAAGCATTAACCAGCATTAAAATTTCCAGAGAAAAACACAGTTACAAATGTGTAAAACTAGACACCTAGATGTTGGAGAAAAACACCCTGATTTTGAAACAGGATAAAAGACTTAAAAAATGCACCATCAACAACAACAAAATTATGCCTGTGGTTATTATTCTACAAATAACAGAATGCTGAGGAGTCCAATTAATTTGAGAGTAAAATTAACTACACAGGGTATCAGGCAGCTACCATTAACATTCAGGTTTGAAATAGTAATGCTTTTAGTACGGTGCCATAAATTGCTTATACAAATGCTGTTTTTCTTAACATAGCACAGTCTTAACTTCCTCACAGTTTCATAGATTTGTAATGGCATAATAGCCACTTCCCAAATTTACTGAAAGGGGAATGAAATTAAAGCACTAATACACTGTCATCTCTATATTGTCCACATAATGAAATATTTAAAAAAAAACCAACCAAACCTAATTATGAAAGTCAGGGGACTAACACCACAGTATTTGTAACACATCCAGTTATGTTTCCAGTTCTGTATCAGATTTTAACAAACCAAACCAGTAGCAGGTCCTGTGTATACCTGAATATAAACCAGCAACTGTGCTTAAGTTTCTTTTGCTTCAGTCCCCTGAAATTCTCAGAATAGAACCCAGCATCAGGCTCTTCACAGGCTGTTTTTTGCTTTTTTCTGTTTTAAAAGAATTTTCCAGATGGGACCAATGCCCAACTTGTTAGAATCTTTGCCTAACATGTATAACATCTTGTGCTTGGTCCCAGTGAATATTCTTTCTTACCTATTGTTAATGTTGACCGTGCTTGTTGTGAGCAAAACAAAAGGGGAAAAAATCACTCCAAATTAAAGTTGTTCCACACTTGAGAAAAAGTAGTACTCTTAGTGTAAATGAATTAAAAAACAGAAAAACATTCCAACTAAAATATATCTAGACCCTAAGCATTTAAGCAAGCCACTCTACTGCTTTGTATGACATCTTGGAAACCCATATAAACACTGAAAAGAATTTAACTTGTCAGAACATACAAGAAAAAGATTACATCATGGAAACAAAATGTCAAAACACCATGAAGTGTTAAGATTTTCTGAATCTTTATTATAGCCTGAAAATGCTAGTGATACTGAATTTATTGCCAAAATTGTCATCGTATTCCCCACCCCTAGTTCTTCCTGATTCCTTGTGGTGCACTTGGTCTTGAAAGGAAATAAAATGAAACAGCAGAGGCTTGATAATTTTCTATCAGAACAAAACTTGTCTGAACTAGGATTTACTACAGTCAAAATGGAGATAAGCAAGCTGTGGGATGTTTTTTTTGCTTGTGGACAACTTTATTTCATGGAAAATGACCTGAGGAAGAAAATAGTTCATTGTAAACATCTTATTACAAGAGGAAAGAAACAACACATACATAAAGATCTAAATACAATATCTAAACATCTTCCCTAAAGCCAGCAACAGTGTCTAACAAGTCTGTGTAACAGCTCATATGATCATTCTGAGATATTTAAAAAGCAGGATAAACTAAAAAAAGTGAAAAGGACGTGCAGTCAGCATTCTTAGAAAGCAAGTCCTGCCAACTTGCAACTTTCTGCCAACAAACACGATAAAGAACTATTAGGTAGCAAACTTAGCACTTGGATAATTTCACTAGTATCAACAGAATTTTATTTGCTTATAACTGAGTTGATTTGGGCCCTCTAGTATGTAATATACACAGATTAACTGCAAATGGAGAATTTGCTGCGGCATTCCACACAAAAATAAAGTGATTCAGGAGCTTATATTCAGCAAAAGAATCCACAGTGAGTAGTGAGTCTCTTCAGCTTCTACAATGAAGTTATGCTATATCAACATGTTCAGCATCCTCTTAATTTCTTCTGAACAGGTTAGTCACAAAAAAAGTATTGAATGGGATGTTGTGGTTTTCTTGCATCTACAAAAAAATGTTACCTCAATTAGAAGCAACCTAGCAGGGGGACTGACACATCTTTCACACAGATGTAACGAACACTTTTTACAAAGGACAGAAACATTTCCCCACAATATTGGAAGACCACAAATAGAGAATAGTAAAAAAAAAAATAAACTGAGCTACAGGTTTTGCTTTTCAGTACTATCTATCACTCTTACTCGGGGAGTCTTACAGTTTAACAGTGATGGTTGACACACTGTCGTACCCTCTCAGTGAACATTTATCTTCTACTAACATTGGTTTTCAAGGTAATGTTTTGTGCACTCTAGAATGCACATTCCCTCCTGGACTTGAGCTCAGAAATATATGCACATAAACTTAGTGCAAGCACAACTGAAGAGGTTATATAGAACTTTCATCCTCCACATTAATTTATTGTGGATTTCATCAAAATGAATAATGAGAAAACTTTTCACTCATGAAGGTATGTCATTAGTGCTGAGTGTATCTCCTCAGAATTATGGTATGAATAGTTTTAGCAGTTAATCTCTGTATTCCCTTATTTTTACTTATTTCTCAAAGTTTCTCTTCAACTGAGATTAAAATATACATGTTCATCTTATGAACTCCTTGAGATTCTGATGAAAGCAGATGACAGATATAGAATGTTTTCATCTTGAGAATCATTGCTCAGACTTATGGTGACAAACAGCACGTGTCCATCTAAATGCTGTTACACATTAATCTTGCATTAACCTTACATCCCAGGGAATCTTTGTGGACCTGCACGCTGAATTCACACCAATAGATCATGATTTGGTTGTTTTGTCAGCCAAAAAGGGCTTTGTCTCTTACTCCCTTGTCAGCCTGAGAGTTAATCACACAACTGCAGTGTGCTGACACATTTTTTTGTACTTGAGTCTTGTAAAAGTTTAGAGGCAAAAGCAAAGACAGCGGTTTCCATTCCAAAAAAAAAGGAGAGACTTCATGCATTTAACAAGACTTAAGTCAACTTAAGTTGTGTGGGAGTCCTGACATGGGTGACACTGGTAACCAATGCAAGTACTTGAACAAATACCTGCAGTGGGTTGGGCTGACCCTGGCTGGACACAAGTTGCCCATCAGAGCTGCTCTGTCACTCCCCTCATCAGCTGGACAGCGGAGAGAAAATACAATGAAACGCTCGTGGGTTGAGAGAAGGACAGGGAGAGATCACTCACCAACTACCATCATGGGCAAAACAGACTCAACTTGAGAGTTATTTTAATTTATTACCAATCAAATCAGAGTAGAATAATGAGACGTTAACCCAAATCTTAAAAACACTTTCCTCCCACCACTCCCTTTTTCTGGACTCAACTTCACTCCCCGTTTCTCTCCCTGCTGCCCCCAGCAGGGCAGAGGGATAGGGAATGGGGTTTGTGTTCAGTTCATCACAGGTTGTCTCTGCTGCTCCTTTCTCCTCACACTCTTCCCCTGCTGTAGCATGTCCCTCCCATGGGAGGCAGTTCTTCACGAGCTGCTCCAATGTGAGCCCCTTCCATGGGGTGCAGTCCTTCAAGAACAGGCTGCTCCAGCAAGGGTTCCCCATGGGGTCACAGGTCCTGTCAGGAACCTGCTCCAGTGTGGGCTTCCCATGGGGCTACAGCTTCCTTCAGGCATCCTGCTGCTCCAGAGTGAGTAATTTCCCAGGAAAATCATTATATATAGATAGACAAACAAAAAATGCTCTGTTTAGTAGTATTTCATAGTCAGTTTTGCCATCATCTTTGGACTGCAGACCTAAATTAAAATTATTTTCAAATAAACCTAGAGATTTCAATGTTACATGATTTTTAAAAGGGTTTCAGGGAAAGCAATAGTAATTCACTTGAAGAGCCCAAATAATTCCATCCACATACAGTACATTCTGGCTTTACATCCCCTTGCAGCTTTAGACTCTAATGAGTCTGTCCTTCATACTTATAGTTTTTCCTTTCAGTAAAGTCTAGCAAAAGTGAACATAAATCACCAATGTGTTTCTTTACTGACCTACTCATTTAAATTCAGAAATTGTGAGACTTAAATGCAGTGAGCTCTTTGTTAGAGCAAATATAAAAAAAATAAAATTCAGTCCTCTGTCTCTCCAAAGAAAGAGCTTTGTAAGGCACCTCACACTGCTGTGTCTGGAAAAAGGAAACTTTGCCCTATGTGCCACTACTGTTAGAGTGAAACAATTCAGGTCAACAACACAAATTGCAAACTGCAGAGGTCTCCAAAAGCAAGTTATGAAGACGAGGTGGGGCAGGGGAGGGTGGAGGAGGAGAGCTGAGAGTGTACCAGGTGTAGGGAGTTGGATGGGATGGCACTCCGCTGTGATGGCAGGCTCGGCTGCAGGAGCCAGGGCACTGCCCCGGGGGCTGGAGAGCAGAGCTGGTGTGGTGCTCAGTTCTGCTCCTAGACTGAGGTGTTGGTTATGGCTGTGTGTACTCTTCTGCTACTTCTTATAGGAATTTTGTTTCTTGCTCTCCTTGGTCTGGGGTTTCCATTAAGTACCAAGTGATGACCCTTTTGTTTTTAGGTGCTGCTGGTTGCACTGGGGTTTTTTTCCCCATTCTTGCAAGTTGAGACCCTGCAAAGTTACTGGAAGGCATCCCTGTGTGAGGAAATTGGAGAGTGATAATAAGGTTAGTGACTTTGATCAATACGTTTTTTGCCTACGTTTCAGTGTGTTTCTCAGGCATTGCCTTTATAATTCTGGGAGTTTCAGAGCGCACAATGACTGGGGATTGTTTCTTAAGTAATGTCAAAACTGATATTATTTAAAAATATAATGAGGTAGTTTAGAAAACTTGTGAGTAGTGGATAAGGTAGCCGTTATATCAAACTTTAAAAAGCTTTTCTATTATGTGCACAAAAAGGAAAAAAAATTACCACAAGTTTCCACTTTTTATTTTTTTTTAGATTCTCATTCATTTACACCAGGTAAACTTCTAAAACCCTAATATACTGAATTACTACCCCAACACCAAGCTGTACAGAGCTGTGCTGATGATCTTAATAGGGCTATGACCCCTCTATTTGTGCTTCTAGTTGTCTCATCCTAGGAAAGAAAAAGAGATGCTGGCCCACAGCCATTTGGACTTTTTTCGAGTTTCTGATGAGTACAGAAGTGCAAGATGAATTTAAGTCTTTAAGTACTTGAAGATAAGTACACACATCCAATTTGCTACCCTATTGTGAGAGAGAACCTTATCTTTTCCAGCATTTTTTTTTTCCCAGAAGGCTTTCTTTCTCTTTTTCTTTTTTAAGCTCTCTGAAGTCATTGTATTTGTCTTCAAGGTCTGTGATTATGACTGCTTCCAAGGAAAAGTCTCAAGGAGGGTTGAGATTCTTTAATCTTTGCAGATATTCAGCTTCTTGTCAGTAGTGGGTTCGTGGTGTTGATATTGTTATTTTGTACTTGTCATGAAAGTTTAGTTTAGTATCTATGACTTCCTGGTTGGACAATTAATTTAGAAGTAATGATATATGGCTGCAGTAGAAGATAGTTTTATACATATCTTAAAAGTTTATACAGCTTAAAACTATGTCAGAATTCTATACTGCTCCTTCTGCATTGGTGCTTTTATGATATAATAAATTGTGAAATCAGAGCCATTATTCCAGTGAAATAAAGAAGTTAGGAACCTATTTTGGAGATAGTGACTTAATACTGCTGCTGCATGTTAGATTAATCATTTATTAACTTGCCCAAGGGTATCTGCTTCAGCTTTTCAAGTGCCAAAAAGGGTGGAGACTATCTCAACCTGTGGGGTGTTTTTTATGGCCACGTACATACCTTAATCTGCTGAATCAAAGTGTAGAAGAGAGAAGTTAAACATGTCATTGTTTAAACCCCTGTTTTGGAGTTTTTAACCTAATTCACATAACATCCAGTAGTGATGTGCTCTAACTCCTTTATTCTACATCATATTTTGGCTAAATAACAGTTGTGTACATGGCCATGACAGCACGTGCGAAGGAACATTTTTAGGCTGCTCTGGAGATGGATTAAGAAATCACAGTAACAGATTTCCCTGAAACAGATTACCCCCCCCCCCCATTTACTAATCTGACTTCTAGCCCAATGAGAGAAGCCTTAAACATTAGTCTTTTTTCAGTTCATGGTAATTAGGATATGGGAACTACGCTCAGTTACTTGTTTGAAATTTACATTTTTGTGAAAGCCAAGATGTATTAGAAAGAGAATGTCCCTTTGAAATAATCCACACCAGCATCTGGACAAAAAAAGCATAGGAAATTTCCAAAACTCCTGGTCACAGTAAATCTGTTGGTGTTCCAGTGTGGTGGAATGGGTCTGATGCAGAGATACCAGTGAAATGCTTTGGTCTCAGTTGTTCATGAAGCTATTCCTTGGCTTGTCATTGACTCTGATCATAGATAAAGGTTCAGGTTTCAGTAGTTTTTATTTTTTTCTGATCAGACAGTCACTGTTTTCTGGAGACAGAGGCTATGAACTCAGCAGCCTCTCTATGTGGTTTTTAGCAGGTGTGTGATTCGCTGTTTATTGGTGCTTTTAGCGTGTGCCTTCTTTCTACTTATTTCTCGCCTTTCATAGGCTTCTCTTGTCTTTTCTACACTAAACTATATATGCTTTTCTGTATTTTCTGGGTAATATAAAGTATGTAGGTGATGAAATGAATAATACTGAATTGTATGAGAATTTTAATATCATTCTTGAGTACCTGTTTCGCATGAAACTAAAAGGTTACTTGCTGAAATTATTAGAAGAGGAAGTTGCAGTAAAACATCCTGGATGCTGAGTTAGAGTCTTTTAATTTTTTGTGTATCAGAGTTAAATAATGTAAAAACATTTTTCTTGGCATCTAGGTTTCCTCAAAACAGAGTTAAGGTATCGAATAATAAATTGTAGTAACAAATTCACGCACCAGTCAACAATTCAGGGATAATTTGAGGAATACCATGAGGTTCATAAAGGCTAAGTCCTCTACATAGCTTCTTGTGTTCTGCAGTTCTCATATGAGAGCTGCTTATATTTGACAGATGCCAGCTAAGAGAGAAGGTGATAATGGAGAACTGGCCTGCACAGCCACGGCCACATGTATGGTCTGACCTGTGAAACTAAGGAGTTTGGGGTCCTGTGAGAGCAAATCTAATATATGCATACAGCAGTATTGTTGAACAGGGCGTGATATCTTTCTGATTTCTGACCCTTGAATGTTTTGCATCCTAAACTGTCATTTTATGTAACTTTGGCAGAGGAAAATGTCTTTTTTCACATAGAAAAGTTAAGACACATGAATTGTGTGACGTGAAATGGCTCATGAAAGGACAGGAGTATTCCACGCTGAGTAGTACAGAAATTCTGTGAGAGATGTCCTGATGTTATTTAAGGCACAAATCCATTTTTTTTTGATAATTTCTTATAATGCTGAACAGCTGTGAGACACAGTCACTTGTCTACCAGTTTCTGGGGAGACATTTTGCCTGACCAACTAATGCAGGACTTGGCCTAGAATTGCTGCCCAATTAGTGTGTAGAAAGAATAGATGTAAAATTCCACACTCGATGGTTTTACACTATCTTCTCAGATTTTGTAAACCTCAAGGACAAAATTAATTAATATAAAATATTGAATTTTTCTATCGCCTCTTGTTTTGGGTTTTTGCATGTAAACTTGTTAAATGTACTCATTGTCATTCTAGAAGCTGGGCAACAAGGAAAACTAGTGTGGAAAACTACTTAGTCACTCCATGTGTTTTTCCATTTTTCTCAACCAGAAACTATATTATGTTGTGACAGAGAATGTGTTTGGTCTTTTAAAAAAAAAGAAAACTTCATGTGGAATGGTAACACTTTAAAACAAACTCTGAGAATTAAATGATTAAAGAATCAACATAAGAACCATGAGCACTCTTCCAGATTCACAAATCTTTTAGGTTTATTTAAAACAACCGCACTCTTCCAATGTCAGATGATACTGGTGTCCTTTTTAATTCATCATTATCTCAGTAAAGTCTTCTTGAGATGGGCACCATATGGATCTTGCTTCAAGTTTGAAAGAATGGGATTAATTTCTGGGCTGAAAACTTTTTAATTTTCCTTGTGAACTCAAAACATTTCTACTAAACCTGGAATGCATTTTCTAAAACAAAAAATGTGGCTAATCTCTGGGGCAGCTCTTGCTGCTGGAAGTGTTATTGCTCATGCAGTACTTAAAAGATATTGCAAAACTCACTTTATTGAATATAAGTTATAGTTACACATGTAATTGTTAGAAAACTTCAATAATTAGATCTCATGTGACTTCAGTTCTCCTTCCCTGGATAACGATATCTGGGGCATTCACCAGGGACTTCCTTTAGGGAATTTCTCACTATCCCTGTGTCTGCAAGGAAGTAGTTATATCATTTGCAGACCAGAGTTCAAGCAGAGTGCTGGGAAATATATGCTGACTCAGTTTCTTTTAAATTCTTGATTTATCTTTTTATGTGCCTGGAAAAATAATTTGGATGCAATGTCTACTTCCCTTGTGGGATGTGTTTTTTGCTGGGTTTTCAAGTGAAGTGGGTAAATGCAGTAGAAAAATGCAGTTTTCCGGAAGACATGTTTTTATTTGCCCAAAATGTATGGATTGGATATGAGAGTCATTTGAAGAAACTCTACATCCTGTTTAGGAGAACAGCTACTTAAACACTTTCTGGCATTAAAGTCTGAATTTGTTTTGCTGTGAAGAGGATTAAATCTTTTAATGGGGAACAAAATCTCAGAAGAAGTAATATTGATATGTCAATTTAAAATACCTTCTAGATATTTCTTTAGAAGTTCTATATAGCAGAGCATAAAGAACATCATTAACAGTGGCATGTAACTGCAAATGGAAATAATTTTGCAGTAGCACAGTAATAGAGAAGAGGAATTAATGTGGATGAAGAAATGATTTTAGTCCTCCTAGAAAAATAAGGAAAAGCATATGGATCCATTCAAAGCTGTGAAGGGACTATGGGAAAAGTACTTTGTTTCACCTGATATTGTATTCCTGGAGAAAAGGTTTCTCAAAAGAAGTGTATTTTTGACATGACTTGTTAGACCTCTGACTCATGGATTTGAGGCACCTCCATTCTTGTATAGGTCTGCAAATCTCTTTGTATATGCAAGTTCAAAGCCATGAAATAGCTGGATAAAATGTGCCTCTTAATATCAGCAAGTGGTAATGAAGCAACCCAAGAAGAAAGTATATCTTTTAGCTGATTTAAGCTCTGCATTTAAATTTGGAGAATGGCCTGCTTGTTTCAGTGGACAAATGAACATCCAGAGCCAAAATTGCTTGAACTTCAGGGAAGTTCAGATATTTCTCTCTTTTAAGTCATGCAGTTGTAAAATTCTATGAGTGAATTTTACATAGGTGAATAGTATAAGAGTACGGAGTCTACAAGAATGATATATTATTCTTGCCTCTTAGAGTCTGCAATCCAAATTAAACTGACACAATTCATGGATAATAATTCCAGTCTAGATTTGGACACAGAAGTGGTCGGTGGAGATGCGTGTGTTTGTTGGTTTGGGGCTTTATTAGATTTGGATTTGTTTGTGGTTTTTATTGTGTTTTTTTGCTTAATTGGTTGGTTTTGTTGTTGTTGTTTTGTTTTGGGTTTTTTTGGGGTTTTGGTTTTGGTTTTTTGTTGTTGTTGTTTTGCTTTTTTTGTTTGCTTGTTTGGTTTTTTGTTTTGGTTTGGTTTTTGGTTTTGTTTTGGTTTTTTAATTATTTTTATTTGTGCATGTGAGTTTTGCTTTTACAGAGCTGAGGGAGAAGTGAAGGTAAAAAGGATGGTGGGAAAAACACTGTAGACTAATCAATTTAATAAGTGGTTCAGATAATAAGCCCAGCTCTTCCATGACTTCCATGTACTTCCCCTTCTATCTAATGCCCGTGTTGCAAAGATGCTGCATTTCAATGATGTAGATGCCACCATACACCTAAAACCCCCCACCTGTCAGTGCTAGTGAATTGTTAGCTTTGAGTGGAAAGACTGGAATGTCTTTAGCAGCTATTTCTTCAGCTACTCCTCCTTCCAGTCTGATACATTTCTAAGCTAAAGTTCTGTATTGGTGAACAAATTTGATGCCTGTTGTCCTGCTGAAATCACAGAGCTCTCTATAACATCTGTAAGGAACAAATCTAATCTCACACTTTCATATCAGCTGTATGGTGCATTTGAAAGAAGAAATACAACTGTGCATCCTTGTAATGGTCCTCCAGCAGTTGTGGAAGGCACAGCCAATTGTCACCTTACTTTCCTGGGTTTTAGTAAGGCAGAGCCTGCTCCTTCCATGAATTTTGTTCCCTGTGTTCCAGCTAGCAAGTAAAAAACTCCAGTGGCCTGTATTTCTGGGTTGTGGGGGACACAAGTTCTTCTTTTGGTGACCTTTGAACTAAGAACTCAATATTTTCTCTCTCCCTTGTTTATTTTTTGATGGGAGGGGTAGAGGGTGGGGGTGACAATCTGTGATCTTTCGAGGAATGAAAAAAGTAAGGAGCAGAACTATTAGAAAAAAGAAAGTGGATGGATTACCACAGGGTACAAGATAACTGCTCTGGAAACAGTTAAACTGAAGTACAGATGTTATAGTTTCATTAGAAAAATGGACTTCTTTATAAAAAGGGAGTGGAAACAAGTGAATCTGACTTCTATGCATCTTTTTTGTTCAGCTCTGTCTAGCATTCGTTTTGATTTAGAATATTTGTACTCTTCGGAGGGGTGTTATAAGATGGACTTGGAGTTTAAATCTTAGGTGGAATATTTTCAGTGCCAAAATCAATAAATGACCGTTAGCAGTCCTCTTGTTCTGTTCAGAACTGCAGCAGGTTATTTAGGAAATTTTCTATTTAGGAAATATATAAAATATCTGAGAATAATCTTAATTGTTACTATGCAGTGAAGGCAGATAGACCAACAAAGCTGGAGTCAGGAAGAAGAGACTGGTTGCTCTCTCTTAGATTTTTTTTTTTTTTCCTATTTTGAGATAGTGCTGACTTTAAATCAAATATGTCTACAAAGTGGCATGCATTTGCCTAGAATGCTTAAAAGCTCAATTGAGTATCAAAAGTGCCATGGCTACAGTAATGATGAAAAGAATTATAGCTCTGTACAGCCAGCCAAATAAATGAAACATAGTGAAAAGTATCAGAAAAAGTGGTTGATCTATGGTTAAAAATTAGAGTTGTCTAGTAGAAATGTTTGGAAAGCACTCTATTTCTATACATTTTCTGCTTACAAAATTTGACATCTATATAACTCTTTTCTCATGTATGCCCTTGTGTTTTTTATTGCTAGGGGATCTGTGTAAAAGGAAGACCTGCACTTCTGAATCAATACTTTCCCTTTTCCTTCGAAATCTTTGTTCTTTTGCTAGAGAGTATCTTGAAGTGATTAAAAATTCTTTTAGATAGAAATGTAACTACTCAGTGACTAAGCTACTATGACTCAATGGTATCCCTTTCTTTGAATTCAGTGAGTCACACTCTTCAACCTGCAGAACAGCATCTCAGGTGATTTGTGAAAGAACACTTGTAGGCCACTGTTCAGAGAGTAGCTTAAAATGTTTTAGTTCTTGTGTGCAGATACCACACAAAGCCTTATACAGACAAGACATACTGCTTTAATTTTGTGCTCATATTCTTGTTTTAAAGACTACTGAGGAGCTTGTATTTTCCTTTTAATTTAATTTTATATTAGAAGCTTCTAGAGCTGAAATGGTGGCAGGAGTCTAAACTTCTCTTTGCTGCTTTGTAAACACTAACTTTCATGATTTAAATGTGTTTAGTAATGGTCAAATAGATCTTTCTCAGGTAATTTAGTTGTCAAATTGAGTCTTAACTATTGAAGATTGTTGATAGTCTGATAGACTCTTCAATAGTCAACAGTAATGCTTGTGTTCAGTTGCATAGTGAAGCTAAAATAATCCTGGAAGCAATCACATTACGTTTCTTTATCTAACTATTTCATTGCTTAGGTGCTTTAGATTCATTGGTTTCAGTTTTGTTTGTCACTGCTTTTAGTAACAGTAGTAACTCATATCTAAGTTTTCTTCAGCATCAGACTGGACAACTATTTTGTGATGAGTACTACAGTCAGCAGGAAAGTGTGTTGGTTTTGTTTGGGTTTTTTTTTCCCCCACATGAATGATTCAACAGAGTGGAGTCAGATGAGAGAAATCAGATAACTGCATTTTTCCATCTGATGGGTATCAACCATTGACTCGTTTTATCAGTCTGTCTTGTTAATGTCTAGAGAACACTGTGCTTTGTACTTTTCATTCACAGAAAATAAGCAATGTATTTTTAGTCTGAAAAACTTTGTTTGGAATAAGGAGTACAAATATGAAATGAAATAAGAAATAATATATTTGGGTTCTATGAGAGAAGTTGGTGACTCTGGCAGGAAATTTGAAATCAGCTCTTCAACTGGTGAGCCCTATTGCTGGTAAAAGGATGGATTTATAATCCTAAAATTACAGCTCAGACTACATACTTAGAATTCTATATATCACAAACATCTTTAATCAGATCAAAATTCTTAAATGTGCTGCATTTTAGGATGTTTTTTGATGCTCCCATCTAAAGGTTTGTTTTGCACAAGAAGTTATAAAAACACCCCTCTCCTGTTGTTCTTAGAGGCTTAATTAAATAAGAAGATGCATTCAATCCCTTCATCTTTCCAGTGCCATCTTTCATTGAGGACTGGGATTTAAGGAGCACAGCATGTTTTTCAGACTTCTTTTTAAAAAAAGAATACTCTGCTTTTCTGAGCTTTACTAGTCCTGTGTTTCAGCTTCTGTGTCGCAGATCTGAGGATTGTGAGGCCTTTAGTGTAAGCCAGCCAAGTTTAACCCCTTGTGAGAATGTGCAAAGAGTAATTAAACATAAAGAGGAAGAGATGTTAAGGGAATCATCTTTCTTTTCAGTTTGACTGACAGTGTAGGTGCTGGGACCTGACTTTGCTCAGTTTCCCATTGAGAGATCATCAGAAAACTCTGAAAGAGCAACAAGAGCAGAATTTTTGCTCCAAGCAGTTAGGAGATGGTTTTGTCTGATGTGAGAATATAAAAAGGAATGGGGAGGGGGAAAAAGTAGCTTCATCTCTCCCCAACCTCTTTTTCACAAGTTTCTAAGTAGTGCTAAGTAGTCTCTTAGTTACTTAAAGGTGCAGCCTGAATTATGCTGCAGGTGAATGGGTCCAGAGCTCCAGCTAAAGACTGACTTAGTCTTTAGATTTTAGTGCTGCCACGGGAGTTTTATTTTTATGTTGGCTACAGCCAATTCTACTGGTTTGTTGCTGTTCTGAATTTGACAGTATTTTCGGTGGAGCAAATGATGGTCCCACTGTCACCAGCTACAATGTTGGTTTTTTTTAAGTGAGTAAAACCAAAAACTGCTCAAGACAATGTTAGACTTGAGGCTCCTTGTCGCCTGTTTCAGCAATGCTCTGAGCCTACCTAACAAATCTAAATTGCTAAGGAAGGCTCAGAAGAGGCAGCCTTTTTCTTTTAGTGAGAGCTTCTAGAAACATTAAGCTTCTTCTTGAAGCAATTTTGTTTGAGTGGGAGGCTAGAAAAAATGTTCTTGAATGCCTTTGAGCAGCTGTAGATAGACCCTTGTAAACTACTTATCCCTGAATCCTAAAGCCCTGACAAGAAAGAGCTGATCTGTTGAATCTGCAGCTCTCCTGACAAACAGAAAAAAAAAGAAAATAAATATTTTACAGCAATTACTGTTATTTTACTGTTGTCAAGAAGATAACGGGAAAATAGTAATTGCAAATACTCTATAACACCTCTTAAACCGCACATCTTTGAGAATGCAGGTATCACTTTTCTTGGCTACTTTTTGAGTTCAGTTAAGTGTATTTGCAAAGACAGCATAAATTCTTCTCACTTCATCTCTTTGCAGTGTCATGCACTTATATAAAATCCAGTTAAGTCATGATCTTTCAGGGTTGCCAGCAAGAGATGTGAAGGCATTAAATGCTGCTGTTTACACGGCTGGTGCTTTGGATCCAATTTGAAGAGTTAGAAGAAAGGGGAAGGAAGTGGATTCTCAAGAACAAGAACTCTGACTCCAGTTTTTCTAGTAAAACTGAAACCTACACTTGCCTTTTACCTCAAAGTTTTCTCTTTACTATTTAACTTGAAGGAGTTAAATTTTCTTGCACTTGTAAACTCTGCATGCAGTCCGACTCACTTGCTGACACATTTGTTGTAGCTAGGAATGAAAAAGCTAAAAGAGATGATCCTGCAGCAGACTAAAGCTTTTTAATAACATAAGGCCTGCCCTGATAAGGGGAAAAGTATTTTGTAATTTCTTTACACACAAACAGTCTGAATTAGCGTTTTATGGCTGGAGCATTCCTAAATTTTTTATTCTTGATTTGGAATATTATTCTTGCTTTAACAGTGTTGTCAGTGTTTTTTTGCTGGTTGTGTTAATTATTAGGTAGGATGTTTTTGGTCCAATTCAGTGTATGTAGTCAAAGACAGTAGAACCTAATGTGGAATGAGCTCTGACAAAAAGAGGTGCTCAGCCTGCAGGTTAAAGAAAAAAAAAAAGAAGGCTTGTTTTGTGAGTTGTTTTGTTTCTTGGGGTTTTTTTTTAGTTTTTTTAAATGCAAGAGATTCAGAATGTGTGAGAAGCGCAACTAAGACCAAAAGCCTTTACATTTTATCTCCCTCTTAATGCTCATTTAAAAGAATGACAAGATTATATCATACAGTTGTATTGTGCTTAATAAAAGTAGCACCTGTTATCAACATAGCAGGATAGCAGGCCAGACCAAGGAAAGGAAATATATAAAGATGTGGGGCAAAACCAGCTGGATCAATTAGCTTGTTAAAGTCCTTTCCCTCCCTCCCAGACATGACACGAAGGTTTTTCTGATCCATTTCTATTTTAGGATCAGCAGTGGCATGTAACTGGGTGTTAATTATTGATAGCTATAAAGAGAGAGATTGTTGCTTGGTGCATTTAAAAAGCACAGATGTGATCTATCTCTTCTTTCTTAATTTCATACTTTGTAAGTCTGGCAAGAAAACTTAATTTAATATGCATTATGATGCCAACCAGAGGTAAGAAAAATGAATTGTGAATACTATGATAAGAGTGTGGGGTCTTTTTAAAAAAAAGAAAATTGAATCACAGAATTGATGTGGTACAATAAGATGTAAAAGTTAGAATGAGAAGACAGTAGTTCTAGGGAAGGAACAATTTGGACAGTGTGACAGGAGCTAAGAGTTAATATACTACATATGTCAGATGTGTTCAGGTCCTTGGTGTAAAACTAAGGAGAATATGCAAAGATGTGCAGTCTAAGGAGCTGTGCTGTTTTCTCTACTATGTGTTACACCGTCAGTGTGATGGCTCTCTCAGTCCCTGGCACAAGCATAGTCGTTACCCCTGTGAAATGTTTTTAGATGTCTTTTGGAAAGTCTTAAAATAAGTGCTAAATATCATTAATATTTTAGTTTTCTTATGGTAGTACCCTGAGCTGGTATTTCCCAAGCCGATCGGTATCTTTTCTCTGGCTACCCTGCACAGCATTTCTGAGCACATTATTATTCTGCATATTTAAAAGCAACCAAAAAATACTGCAATGACTTTACTGTACTTAAATAAATGGAAATAAGCCACTGCTATATAGCACTTGGAATATTCTGCTGGAGCATTTGATACCCATAGTGAGAAGCTTCATTGGAAGTAGTATGCACTTAAAATCAAACATAGTGGGAATTCAAATGAATAAAGGCAACAGTTGAAAATGATATGTAGCTCAACGTGAGCATGTTCTCTAACTTGGAAGAGTTTTAAAAGAAATAGTAGGAGAGGAAAACCCTGTGTTGGATGTGGCATATGTTTCTATTAAGATTGTCAGGATTGTGAAACAGTGTAGTTCCACTACATACGTGTAATTGTGTGTGTAAATATAATGTAAGTTCAGTTTGTGATTGGCTTGGTGGAAATCTTCACCCTCTGTACAGTACAGAGAAGAACATACCCACATGCAGTGAGAACATCTTTTTGTTGATGAGACCTTTATCTCCAGTGGGAAGTAGCTGACTGGACAGAGGGAGTAGAGGGGTAAGGGTTTGCATTTAGGTCAGGGTGCTCTGGGGTACAGAACTGCAGTTCACTGAAGGGAAGCAGGGTCAGCTGGACACAAGCCCAGAGGGGGCAAAGAAAATGCTGTTGCTGTGTAGACAACCTTTCATTTTTAAGTGCCCTGAGTTTGAAGGATCTCAGCATTTTTGTACTTAACAAATAGATTTAAAACGAACAAACAAACCAACCAAACAAATAAAACAAAATTCCAACAAAACACCCCAGCAAAAACACTCCTAAAACGTTACGTTATTTCAAATACATTTTTGAGTTGTGGCAGCCAACTTCAGGCTAGTTCTACTGATATCTGCATTGAGGATTGAGTTATCCTTTCTTTTTGTTGGCACAAGACTTTTTCTTTTCAAATGGTGTCTTTTGCCCTAGAACCCCTTACCTAGAACTGCAAAGTTATTAGATCCAGCTGTCAGAGTGATGGATTAGTATGTGGAACTGATTTCTCAGAACCCTTGTCTGTTCAGTTTATATGGGAAATTGGTTTAATTAGTGATACATCAGCACTGAGGAACTGAGAGCTTGTATAAGGCATCTGTGCATGTGCTCAGCATGTCCTGGGAACCAACTTAATTTGTGAAGTCTCAGTTTACGTAGGGGAGATTACTCTTATGGTTTTGGGTGATGGTACTTATTTGGGACATATCAGACTTAACTTATACTGATCTGGATAGCTCTCTTGAGTGTGATTGAGACTAATTTTGTTTTGGTTTATATTTCCAGAAGGATGGCGAGTGTCCTTGCAAAGTCAAAAACCTGCCCCAGATGTGATTTAGGAGGTTTATTAAATTATAATTTCCTCATACTGAAAGAGAGAAAAATGAAACTGTCAATGAAACGGATCTATTACTTGTTTATGTTTTAGGGTGAAACCCCTGACAGATCATACTGTTGTCTTTTATATCTGGTCTGGTGCTATGTGGAGTTAATAAAGGAAAATCTATTTTTTAGGTATGGGCTACTGCCATGGTAGCAAGGAATGGTGCTCACTGGTTCACCTATAGTCACATAACTAGTTTACTTGACTCTCCTGCTGTATCTGCTTCTCTCTATTGACTGGAAAGGGTAATTCAGTTCACTCTGAGGTGTGCTTATAAAATACAGCAGATGAGTTCCCCTCTGAAAGTGCAAGCAGAAAGCTAAATGCAATGATTAATGTCCTGTTTATAAATTGTTAAAATGCACAGTTTTCAACCTGGCCAGTGAACATTTCTTCTTGTTAAACTGTCAATTGCCATGTTTTGTTCTTCACTGGAAGCTTTATCAGCTCAATGAAAGTAAGTATCCAGATCTCAACCACTTTTAGTGGATTTTGGTTCAAATCCTATCTGAGATGAGTAGCAAATCATTTAGATTCCCTAAAGATATGCAGGAATATCCACTGAGAGTATTTGATCTTGGCATGTTCACACTGTTATTCCTGCATCTAATCCTCTGCTGTGACTGAGTTTGGTGCTTAATGTATTACTAAGGAAGTGATCAACAGTGGACAAATTGGAAGTAACATTCTTCCTGAAGTCATCAGTGGCCTATTTTGGCAATGAATCTGTGAAATTCAGGCACTTTTAGGGATTTCATTTATTGATGTTTTTCTTATTCATGTTCAAATAAATAACAAATTTTAGCACTCTCATGGGCAGATATTTTTAGCATGGCAGCATGCAGGGTTGCAGCAGTTTGATTTATTAAGCTAATTAGTTAGCAAGTTGGGGGCCTGCTTTATTTGACTCTTGCAATAAGCCTGTAGGTAACAATTCCTGAAGCATTAAAAAGCCCCCAACCCACCCAATCAACCAAAACAACACGCTTTTGTTGGAAGATATCAGTATTCCAAGCTACCTCAGAAGGAAATTGCAGGTTTCCTTCTATGATCTTGATGGTATAAGGCACATCCAGCGGCTGAAGCACCGTAGGTATCTCCTGAAATCCCCAGCTGTGTGATGCTGAGTTCTGTTGGTGATGGCAAAGATTAAACAAGTTGTGTGAGTTGTCATGTTCCAGTAGAACACAGCTTCCTGCCAAGCTGGCTTTCAATTACAGCTTGGGAAAACAGCTTGGTGCCCGTTCTATTTTTACAGCCTTGAAACTCTGCCTTGGTTTGCATGGCAGTTTACACTCAGTGGTTTTTAGTTTTTTAATTTTATTAAAAAAAATGTCACGATGAGGCATTAGAAAATATTCTGGATATACTTTTGACTCCCTATACTAATGTAAACTATAGTTTTAATATGACAAATCACTGTTTAGATATCCTGTGATAATATGTGTAGAACAGTGTCATTGCCTAAATACTTCAAAAAGGAAGACAGAAAAAAGCTATGGTGGGAACTCAGAGGAGAATTGTAGCTTGAATATATGGCAAAGGGCTGGGTTTTTTCTGAAGCATAGGATCAATTTCAGTAAATGCACTAAAACAGGGTTTACACCTTGATGTGGAAAAAGTGATATCCTATCTCTTGATAACAGAATACAGGAAATTGGTTTTATAAAACATGAACCTTGTATCTTGGGTTTCTTGAACCAGATATTCCTCTACATTCCCACATCCATACCGATGGTGACTATCTAGACATTTTGGAAAAAAGTGTATTTTATGAGTACTGGTGAGTTTTCTGAGCAGGTTGCTTTTAAGCAACCCTAGAGTTTGAGTCCAGAGATTTGCAGTCAAGTGAACAGTTTGGTTTATATTAAAAGATTTTTATTTATTACTTTTAACAGAGTAATAGATTTCATATGCAACAAAGCTAAAAATGAGGTCAAACAACAAAAAATATTGAGCTAGGTACAAACTTGGCACAGATATTTTCAGATTACAGTCTGTGGATTCTGCAGTCTGACTTCAGATGGTATATAAACCTTGGCATTGCAAATTTCCTTTATTTCTCTTTTATCACTACACACTTTAAGCCAAAATTCATGCCTTGATCTATGTACTGGGTCT